CTATATTCCCACATATTCCTTCTCCACATGCACTCTATCCAGTGTTGCAGCTTCATCTCTGATTCTCTCCCACGCTCTCTACTGGGTTCCCTCTCTAACTTTCTCAAGTCCATCAACTATGCCATCATTCTCCTGGTTCACAGATTTTAATTCCTTAGATTCCTGTTGTTCTCTCATCTCCTTTTCTCTCTGCTCTTGTCTCCATACCACGTTATATCTGTGGCAATTCTGCTTGGGATTTTGGTTCCATCTCATGTTGTTGATTTGGTACCTACTCACTTTTCCCACTCTGTTCTTTCAGCCATAATATATTGCTGCAAAGACATTACTCTCTTGAGGGCAGCCTTCTGATCTGCCTGGGTCCTGGGCTTCAGTTTTTACCACTGTTACAACCCCAGTACCAACTCTCAGGTATGGATAATAAATTACTTGATGACTGACTTCTGATCCTCTAAACACTCCCCACTTATTCCTTTGCAATGATTCAAATCTTACCTATCCTCCAGACTCAACTTGGAAATTCTCCTTGTATACTACTTCTTTGCTAACTCAGATCTCTAAACCTACTATAAGAGTCAATGTTGAGTAAGCATAAAAGTGGGTTATACCAATGAAAGGGAGAAAGGTAGAGTAGGCAACTGACTTTAAGGGACACATTATTAGGAATCTACATTTCCTTAGTCTAAAAGGCATTGGCTTGGTTTGCATTTAGTTCCTTTTATGGATAATACCTTCTTCAAATTTCTGCCCTGCTTCACCTATGATCAGTGTCAAGAGTACAGTTGTAACAGAATGCTTCATCTTCCCCTCGTTTACTATGCATGGCCAATACAATCTTGGGATAGGTCTTGTCTTGGTGTGGGGCTGCTGCATTCCCAGAAATCAAACATATGAATATTAGTGAGTATCCCTAGTAGTTTCATGTTGAATGTGAGAGCCTGTACCTATCCAAGGACACTTATCACATAAGATGCCAATTCCCACAAGAAGAAAAGGACACTAGCTAGAACTCCAGAAATGTCCAAAGCTCTCTTGCTTTTACTCTCTTGATAAAGGTCCCAGGTGCTTATTATAAGAGAGGAGCAATAATAGTGGAAAGAAGGTAGTGGCTAAGAGGGGTCACTACGAATACTTTCCTCTACATAAATTTGGGGGACAGTGCCCTTTTTGATCTCATCCTGAGCTATCACATTCAATTCCTTCATGATATAGTGGACACTGTGAAGTTATCAATATTTCTGAAGATTCAGCAAACCAGTCTGGTGGCTGTCTGGAATCCCCTGATGGCTACTTCTACTAAGATAGAAGCAGGTTCTATTAGCAGGTAACATTTGTTACCATTTTATAGATATTGTCTTATATTGTTAATTTTTTACATTTTATTTTCCCATCCATCAAGTAACTGACATTATTTTTAACATTTCTCTTGATCCTCCTTAATACCTAAAGCTCATTGACCTGCACATACTATTTACTAATAGAATAATTAACTAATTAAAAAACCACAGGCATATATCTTGGAAGTACATTTACTTAAAAGATGCAAATCTGATCATCTAACAAATTTAGAAATGTCAAGGCTTCTTCTTAGTATCTCAGACAGACCTCTGATGCAATCAGAAAAATCAAGGAAAATAATCTTGAATGTGGTATTTTGCATATTTCAGCATGAATATCATGTGGGTATTACAAAAATAATTTAATTCTGAAATACTAAGCAGAGTGTGAAATTAAAGGTACACTCCTTTAAATCTTTGGGGAAAAATTTAAAGCAGGGTAATGAGCTTTTCCAGAAATGTATGAATAACTAACAACTATGGGCCTCTGTGACAACCCAAGCACAGAAAAGATCACCAGAAGGAATGGGTCAATCACAGTGTCCGCATTCAAACCTGTTTTTTTCCAGTGACGGACAATAATATAATTTGCTGATAGAGACCTGTTCCCCCTTTAAGAACAGGAGAAGAGTTCTCTTCAAATCTTAAAATCTGAGGGTCTCTGATCACTCTGACCCTGAAAGCAGTCTGACATCAACATTGTAATCAGAAATATACCAATACTGATGCACTCATTAATTCCTTGATCAATTGTTTTACATTGTAGCTTTGTCATTTATTTTTCTTTTATTACTTTTATTGGGATCAGTTATGCTGCATCTACACTTCTAAGAATACTTAATTCATTACTATGTTTTAATGTTCATATTAGGTTTTACTGACTGGAATGTCTGCTATTTTCATCTTTGTGATTATTATTTCTATCAAGTCCATATTGTGCAGATCTAAGCATGTGGAGCAGACAGTCTCAGGGAAGGAGAGAGAAAGGAGAGTGGCAGAGAGTGCAAGAAGAAGAAAAAGACACAAAGAGAGAGGCACACATGGAGAACAACAGGCTATACCTGTTTGGGAGTCTGAATGTCAAAGGATTGGAGTAAACCAGTAGGATCAAAATATCCTTGAACTTTTTCTTGAGAAGGTATCCAGGGAATTACGGCTCCAGCATAGAGCTTGGAGCAACTGAACAGTTCCAAGATTATACTGTAAATGATATGGCTTGGCTTATTGTCCCCACCCAAATCTCACTTTGAATTGTAATAATCCACACGTGTTGTGGGTGGGACTCTCGGAGATAACTGAATCATGGGGTGGGTTTTTCCAATAGTGTTCTCATGATAGTGGTTTCACAAAGGAGAATTCCCCTGCACATGCCCTCTCTTGCCTGCTGCCACATCCCTTGCTATTCCACCAGGACTGTGAGGCCTCCCTAGCCATGTTGCACTGTGAGTCAATTAACCCCTTTCCTTTATAAATTACACAGTGTTGGGTATGTCTTTATTAGCAGCATGAGAACATACTAATACAGTAGATATTTACTCAATGGCTGCTTGATTACTGTAATCTGAGTTTGTTGATGAAGTGTACAAGATTTTTGGAGAGTTATCGTATTAAAGTGTCTGTTATTGCTTATACTATAGTGGTTCTCAGAGTGTGGTCCACAGAACTGAGGCAGGGGTGGGGGAAGCTCCTTAAGGTAAAAACCACGTTCACAGTAATAGTGGTAGTAATAATAACAATAAAAGAATACTAATGTTGGCATTTGTACTGATGGGTCAAAAGTAATGGTAGGCAAAACTGCCAGCAAGTTGCCATGGACTCAAGGTACTGGCGTCACACTATGCTAGCAATTGTTGCATATTTTTTTTTTGAGATGGGGTCTTGCTAAGTTGCCTGGGCTACAGTGTAGCAGCACAATCATAGCTCACTGCAGCCTTGAACTCCTGGGCTCAAACTATACTCCTGCCTCAGTCTCCTGATGAGCTGGGACTAGAGGCATGGACTTCTGATTGTACTTTTTACCACCAAACAATCACAGAAAAAAAAAAAGGCCAGTTTCAAATAAGAAACTTGATCCTTGATGAATGGTAAAAAAATAAATAAATAAATAAATAATTACTTCATTAACCCTCAACCCTTGAGTACACATCTTTTTGATACTCTTTGTGACCAAATGTTAAACACACATAAACCACTCTGCAGCATCCTGAATCAGGATGGTTGTTCTGAGCAAAAGTGTTTGTGCAGTTGTCTGGGTATCAGGCTAAACTGCTCACTTTTCCATGAAATGCTGTTTTTTTCTTGGAATAAAGACTGACACCATTGTTGCTCAGACGTGGTTAGTTGGCAGGCATTTTCTTAAACACAAGTGATGGGAGTCTGTCACATCAAGGGAAAACAACTGTTTTGTGGCTGATGATAAAATTTGTACTACAAATTGAAATTCAAATTCTGAACAATGTGCATCTACCCTGTGAACTTGACAGCTTCCTAACAGAAAGCTTTTCTTATGATGCTGGTAATATGAACAAATGTGATGATTTTTATATTGTATATTGAAATGAGTCAACCTTTGGAAGATCTACATCATCAAAAATTTTCCGAATGATCAATGATTTTGAATCATGCATAGATAAACCTTAATGTGTAAGACAGACCAAAGGGTTTTAATGGAATATGAAAAGTTCATCAAGACAGCTTCAGATTCCACATGGACACTAATTTTCAATAAACTATTATGTATAGACTTTTAGTGTAATACCAAAGAATATTCAGAACTATATGAAAAGAGCATTAAAAACTCCCCCAGACTGGGTGTGGTGGCTCAAGCTTGTAATCCCAACATTTTGGGAGGCTGAGGCAGGAGGATCACTTGAAGCCAGGAGCTCAAGACCAGTCCGGGCAACAAACAAACCCTGTCTCAAAACCAACCAACCAACAAACAAAACTACTCCCATTTTGAAAAATGCATATGTCTATGAGGCCAGATTTTCTTCATATACTTCAACCAAAACATGTTATAATGTATTTTATGCAGAAACAAATAAGCTAGATGTGAAAAGAATTTATAAAACTAAAACGTCATTCTTATTAAATTTTTAAAAAAGTTTTTTTACAAAATATATAATACATAAGGTATATATAAAATATACAAATTATTTATCTAAAATAAATATTTTAAAAATTCCAAGTAATTTCAGTTATCAAATTAATTTATTTATCAATTAAATCAACTTTAACATGGACAGATGTAACCCAAATAAACAAAAACTTTTTGGGATCCTCAGTTTTATTAAATAAATGGGTTCTGGGATCAGAAAGTCTGAGAACTGTTGTTCTCCCATGATGAATGATTCTCAGAGAAACAATTTCTCAGAATGTTTTTACCCAAACATTAATCTCATAAAATGATTCATAACAAAAGGGCTTTGGTTCTGGAGTAAGTCTGGGAAATTTGGAGAATCATAAGACCTGCCACACTTGGAGAGCTACAATCTACATTAGTTTGCTAGAGGCCCAGGAAAGCCCTGCTGTACTGCGTTCATTTCATCTTATGCAATCTAGTGTTTCCTTCTGTTATCCCAGGAAGTTTGTAAATCCAGAACATGCTGGTCATGTGACCTTGGAGAAAGAGTACTGGCACAGCCGAAATCTACCATGACTCACCTTCAAGCCGGACCACCAGGGGCACCTTGAGTTCCAGCTCCCGGCAGGCTTTGGTGATCCCATTGGCAATGATGGCACAGTTGACGATACCACCAAAAATATTGACAAGGATGGCTTCAACCTGAAATCCAAAAAAAAGTTACCCATCAAAATGCTGATCGCCAACAGTTTCAAAAATAACTGGCTAAATAAGAGAGACAATTAAAACAAGACTCCTTGTTTTTTTGTTTTTGTTTTCTACAGAGCATAAAATACAAAAAAGGCCCAGAAACCTGTTAAGAAAGTTTATATTAGTAATAAATTAATAAATACCACAATATAACATTACCATATTATCTCATCAATCACTCTTTGGAACTCCAAATGAATTTATTCATCATTCATCTGTTAGATAATGTCTTGGTTTTCTTTTTGAAAATATTATTGTCTATTCTTTTTATGACTGGTATCATTTAAAATTTCTTGCACTTATGTCTTTTTCCTCCATGATTTACAATTACATTTTTATATGTCATGGTGCCTTACACAATATTTCAAAACTATTGTTTTGTATTAAAAGATAAAAAGATTCAAATGTTTTCATGCTTTTTAATACCTCTTTGATATGCTAGAGGTATGTTATCAAAAATCAGAGATAGTTTAATTATCTTAGACAACAACCGTTTTGATTAAAAAAAGACTCAAAGAGATGCAAGCTTATAGCATAAGTAAGAATGTAAGGAAAGTCAAGCTACTGACTGCAGCTTCTCAGAAATGTAAATGTAAACCCATCTTGTTAATTTGTTTGTACATATTCCATATTCAAAGGCATGTGGGCCAAAAAAAACACAAAAAACAAAAAACCACACAACTCTACTTGTCTTGACTTGATAAATAGGCATAAGAAAATCCTGTATAATTAACATGAAGAACAAGATAATGAAGAGAATTCATTACCTAGATTAATTGATAACACCCACAGAAAATGGCTATTCATCAAGCTGAAGGCATCAAAATTCCAACAAGAGTCACAATTAAATTATGCCACACTAATCGTAAAGCATATATGTATGTGCTGCATAAAATCCCATTATTTCAGTGTGTTAAGTTAGCTACACTAAACATATGAGAAGAGAATATCTTACGTTTGTATAGCACTTAACTCTTTAGAAAGCGCCATTACAAAAAAGTCTTCATTTTTCTATTGTGATCCTTCCCAGAATCCAATTCATTAGGTACGGTGAAGGTTGGCTCTCTGAGAAAGCCATTGGTTGCATTCGGGGTATGTTGCCCCAAGGTCACACAGCTGTCATGTGGCCATGGCCAGGCCCAAAGCCAGGTTGACTACTGATTTGTTCGTTGATGTCAGCTGCTAGAGCTGGGACCTTGGGCAAGTTACAGAACGTCTCGTGAACAATTCATCTCTATTATGGGAATAAAAGGAGGACCCATCCCACAGGGATGCTGAAAGGTCTAAATGAGATAATACATGTGAAATGCTTAGCATGTGGCTTTAAATGTACTTAATGGATATTTACACAGCATTTATTCAGCAAGCAGTGATGAAAGTGGGCAGGTTACCTAGAGAGTAAGTAAGAAAACCTTTTTCAGTAGACTGCAGCTCATGTTGAATTCAAATATAATGGAAATGCAAACTTACCGAAGTTCAACAAAAAGGTAATGCCTTAAGAATCAAAGAAATGAACAATATTTTTCAAACCAATTAGAGATTGGGGCTACTCCCAAAAAAGAAATCTCCCATTACCATTCACAGCAGGCCGACTGGTAAGCAGAAGCTTGCTTTCTAATGACAGCTATTAAATGCTGTTAGCATTGAGGCTTGGTACAGCAGTAGTTTCCAAGTAACTGTGGGATGGAGAGGAACTTGCCAGAACAATAGAAGAAAAACATTCAAAAGCAAGAATGACTCCATGGGGTCCGTGATAGAAACTCAGGACCTGCTGAGGCTCAGTAAGGTTTGTGCAGAGGAATTTGGCATTCTAGTAAAACACACATTGGCACCTGCACGTCTCTGCCACATTCCAGCCTACATGTTCATTAAGGACAAGTTCAGATGTCAACTTCTCAGGGAAGTCTCATCAAATTAGAATGATCCACTCTGTTTAACCCATCTAAAACTTTACGATCATTTTATACAGTTTACATGATAAACTTATGTGAATTCACCTAAACAGGCAGAAGTGGGGGATAGGAATAAAAAGGAGAGAACGGGCTTGTGACCCTGTGATTCAATTCTACTTGGTGAGTGCCCGAAGTGTCAAACAGGAGCTGTGAATCAGTGTTGCCTCAATTGGCATCAGTTTCCATGAGTCTCTCATGTGTCAGTATCTTGTGTTTAATTACAGTCTGATGTTAAAAATAGATACTCTTCATACAACCACTTGTGCCTAAAATTCAACTACTTTAGTTGGTGCTGAACCCCAGGAAAAGCCTTCTTTTCTAACTGCAGAGGAATAACTGGCTTTGTTAGATTTACTGAGAAATGAATAGCTGTTGTTCTCAATGTACTTTATTCTCCTCTTACCTCCCTCTCTCATCCCCAAGACACAACTCCCGTGTTTGGATCATCTTTTGCTTCTCTATGACAAATATTATGTATTTTTCCATTTTTAAAATATCAGTAGCCAGCACAATCCAAGCATGATATGGCATAATCACGTAAAAATAATATTTTAACAATGAATGAATGAAATTAAATTCGACAGGTACTTGATGACCATCTCCTTTGTATCTGGTACAGAATTAGGTTCTTGGGATATGGAGAAGAATAAAATATCATCACTGTCCTTAGGGAATAACTCAAAGACTAGTTTAAGAGCCAGAGCAGTAAACAGACAATTACAATACAGGGTCTACAGATGTCTCACACAGCCAAGACCAGGGCAGAGGCAGTGATGCAGGCTGCTGCCATGACAGAAGATTTTTGGAAGAGGTGATGTTCTAGTAGACAAGAAGAAAAAAAGAACAGCATCTGAGATAAACGGAGCAGCCAGGATAAAAGCACATATGTCACCCAACTTGGTTCATTGAGGAACTAACGGTTGAATGGTGAAGTAACTTAAGATGAGATAGGTGAGGCCGAGATTGGCAGGTGTCAGAGGACAGAGACGTGAACTTGGATCCTCTTATTTCTTCCTTTTTATTTTATTTATTTATTTTTTGAGATGCATTTTCACTTTTTTGCCCAGGCTGGAGTGCAGTGGTGCAATCTTGGCTCACTACAACCTCCACCTCCCAGGTTTGAGTGGTTCTTATACTCAGCCTCCAGAGTACCTGGGACTGCAGGCACCTGCCACCACACCTGGCTAATTTTTGTATTATTAGTAGAGACAGAGTTTTGCTATGTTGGTTAGCTGGTCTTCAACCTCAAGTGCTCCGCCCACCTTGGCCTCCCAAATTGTTGGGATTACAGGCACGAGCCACCATGCCCGGTCTTTTCCTTCTTTAAAACTGGGTGGAGGCAGGTCTTGTAAGCAGCCTCCCTGAAAGGCAGAAGAGAAGTTACGGGAGGGGAACAGAGAGACAGAGAGAAGAGTAAATGCATGAGAGACAATGAGAAATACAGAGCAACTATGAGAGAGAGAGAGAGAGCAAACGAAGCAGTAAAAGAAAAGGCATGAGAGAATGCAAAAGAATAAAAGAGAGAGAGAAAATGCAAAAGGGAGAGTGAGACGCCATGAGGAAGACAGAGGAGCAGAAAGAGTATGACCAATACCAACAAAGCAACTGGGATTTGTACAAGAAGAACAACGAGACACGGAAGTATGCAGGCTGCTGAGCTCAGGGAAATGGAATTGTTTAGGATACACGATACACCACAGCACTCTAAGAGGGAAGTCACCACCCTGGGTGGTGAGAGGTCCCGACTCAACCAGAGATTATGCCATTCTCGCCTTCTCTCCCATGGCAAAGTAATTTGCTGCAGTCATGCACTTTAATGCAAATCTGATTTAAGGTTTCACTCTGGGCCAATTTCTGTAATTAACTACTGTAATCTGAAATCTCAAACTGAGAATGAAATTAAGACAGTTTAAAAATGAAAGCCTCGTGACATTATTATTATTTAGCATTTATAAAGCATGTCAAATTTTCAATGTGTGCCTCACATGTTCATTCATTTTATAACCACTAACTGCTGTTCCATGACGATACCAATAGCAAGTTTTAATTATCTTCCCCCAGCCCCCTGGCAAAGAGAATGCTTTAAAAAAGAAAAAAAAGAAGTCAGTGTTAGGTCTATTTAAGTACCCAGAGACTCTCCCAGAAAATCCCAAGTGCTTTGGGGAACAGAGACTTTTTCTAATTCCTGGGTGAGAATTGTAAGTGTTGCTATTTACTGTTTCACAAAAGTAAAGACCATCTAATGAGGCAGTTGAAGTGCCAGATACAGAGCCCAGGTCCCCAGACCCCAGATAGCTGATCCCAAGGCAAGTTCGTGGCAGCCGCTGGCAGCTGTGCAGGTGGTTGGGCAGTCCATATGCAAGTTTTTCAAATGTCTGTGGGTATTTTGCTTTGCAAAACACACTCTAGCTGCAGCGTTTAGTCCACAATTAAAAGTAAAAACTGAATTTTGAAAAAAGAACAGCTACAGCCCTTGCTATTTATCAAGCTTCTCTCAACACCATCCCCACTGCCCAAATAAACAAACCAACAAAAATCAATACTAAACCTCTTCTTTGGAACACAGATCCTTTTGAATATATGATGAACATTAGGGGATTCCCCAGTCAGGTGAATTCATAAACAGAAAATTTTGGGGGGATAATTTTAGTTAAGTCTCATAGCTGCACTGCTCCTACAGGATATGGCTTCCAAGGCCTCCAGTGGGAAACGGTAACCTACAGCACATGCATTCAGGATAGGGCTGTGAGTTTCAGAGGAATTGTGAATTCTTCACAGCTGGCTATAAAACTTTTGTCTGAATGTGTGCTTTCCTGGGCAAAGTGTCCACAATCTTTAAGAGTTGATATATGACTAGCAATCACAAATACAACCATAATTAACGTTACTAAAGCATTTAGCAGGTGGTATTCAGTATTCTAATTATTATATATGTACTGATGCATTTAACACGAGGATCATGGGAGGTGGGTATACTCATCCCCAAATTGAGGTGAAGAT